CCACAGAGAACTTTTTATTATAGTAACTGAGATAGGATGTTTGCACGTGGCTCAGTTCTCCAGGCCTGGCTAGGGGAAGCCAGCGAATAATCTTCTGTCCCAGCTGAATTCTCAGGGCATTCGGGAGGGAGAAAGGTTTATGGCGGGGGCTCCCTTCATCTGCAGAGTCACAGTTTCCAGGGTCAGAGGCCGTTCCATTGAGAGTAGTGTCTACAGCGATTTGGAAGATGACAAAGCTAGTTTGGAGACAGAAAAACAGGAAAGCCCCCCCCCCATCTGTGTCTGTATGGCACATGTGCCCCCACTCATAGTCACCTTACAGGCGAGAGGGCAGTCACCGCAGGTGAGCGTGCCGTAATCCCCATAGTACATTGACGCACAGGCTCCCGGGTTCTAGAATAGAACAAGTTGAGCCCCTTAAAATGTTCGCCTTTTAAAGGTTAAAATGTGTAAATATAGCCACCTCCCTATGGTTCAACCTAGTAAGCTGGCAAATGATTGCTTTGGTGTGTTAATAATACTTTGCAGCCTGTGCAAATTACCGTGGCTTCCAAAGGGCTCTAACCCAAAGTTAGGGAGTAATTTATGCTTTGGAGAATCTGCCTCAGAAATACAGTTGACGTAGCACTATGACCTTTTGGGGCAAGAGAACAGCACATCGCAGATGTGGATCTGTTAGGTAATTTTGTCCTGTCAACGAAGTAGCAGCAACGCTTCAGAAAATGTATGTGCAAAGCACAACTTGAAGCTGAATTAATTTCTGCATTCTATTTTCAACTTGTCATCTAAAACAGCAGAGGATGTTCTCAGAGATGAGTCCTGCACTCTGAGGTTGGTGTTCATTGTCTCCTTCTATATTTCTATATAAACAGGACATTGATCTGAAACCTTGCTGAGCTTTCTGGAAAGCTGGTTTGAGATTGTAAATAGCCCTTAGAGAAGCAAGTGGGTTGTCAATGCTTAGTTTTTATACTGTACCTTGTGTTAAGGGCATTCCTTTTTTTTAAAGATTTTTATTTATTTATCTGAGAGGCAGAGTTATAGACAGTGAGAGGGAAAGACAGAGAGAAAGGTCTTCCATCCGCTGGTTCACTCCCTAAATGGCAGCAATGGCCAGAGCTGAGTTGATCCGTAGATCCTCTGGGTCTCTCACGTGGGTGCAGGGCCCAAGCACTTGGGCCATCCTCCACTGCTTTCCCAGGCCACAGCAGAGAGCTGGATTGGACGAGGACCAACTGGGACTAGAACTGGTGCCCATATAGGATGCCAGTGCCGCAGGCGGAGGATTAACCTACTGAGCCACAGCGCTGGTCCCCATTCCTTTTTTTTTTTTTTTAAATTGAAAAACCTAGTGACCTGGTTATTGCACATAGTAAAATTGATTTTGTAAAAGAAATTTGTCTATTCATTTAAAATGTTAGATATGTTCACGAAAGCTGTTCGTGGTCATGGTCATCGTATCATTTTTCAGTGTCTGCAGGATCTGTGCCATAGTTGGTTTTTTTTTGCTCCCAGTACTGGTGACTTCTGGTCTCTCTTTGTCTTCATCGGTCCAATTAAGGAGTTTGGTACTGTGGTTTATCTTTAAAACAACACCTGGCTACAGCCCCGTCAGCTTCGCATTTGTCTTTCATTATCCATTGACTTCTGTTCCTCATCATTCCTTTTCTTCTATTTATTTTTGATTCATTTTGCAATTCTTTTTCTCAGTTTTTAGAGTAGAATTGTAGGCATTTTAGTAGTAGATCTTCCTTATTTTATTATGAAGCTTTCAAAACGATCATTTTTCCTTTCAGGACTTCTTAGGTGCATCGTCTCATTCCAGCATGTCGTACTTTCAACACCTCACATACTTCTTTAAGGATCTGAAGGTTCCAGAGGAGAGGCCTGTGTGTGTGTGTGTGTGTGTGTGTGCACGTGTGTGCGCACACATGTGTTCATGGATTTTCTGAAGCTGTTAATGTGTGTGCATGCATGTGTGTGTGATCAGAAGTCCTCTGAAGCTGTTAGTGTGTATTTGTGCATGTGTGTGTGTGTGTGTGCATGAAATTTGTGTTTGTGTGTGTGCATGGATCTTCTGAAGCTGTGTGTGTGTGTGTGTGTGTGTGTGTTCTTGGGTCCTCCGAAGCTTGACCTGTTGGGAAACTCCCAAGGCTGATGGCATTCACCTTGACTTGACAGAGGCCCAAACAATTGCTCTCAGGTGTTTCAGATTTGATACGTGTCGGGAAAGCCTCCATTCCGTTTTTTATCTGCCTTGCTGGCACAGTGCTGGACACCGGGGTGGCAGCTCCTCAGAAAGCTACACGCGGGGTCACTGTGTGGTTCAGCCGTCCGCTGCTGGGTAGCTGCTCAGAAGAGCCGGAAGCAGGGCTGCAAACAGGTCTTTGTGCGTCCACACCCATAACAGTGTCTTTCACAATAGCTCAAAGGTGGAAACAACCCAAATAGCCATCAACAGCTACACAGAAGGTGGAAACAACCCAAATAGCCATCAACAGCTACATAGAAGGTGGGCTCTACATACAGCGGAATGTTTCTCAGCCTGAAAAGGACTGTAAGCTGCAGCATGGGGGACCCCTGGGAATAGTATGCTAAGTGAAAAGCGCCAGATGCCAAAGGACAAATATTGCTTGATTGCACTTGTGTTAAGAGGCATCAAGTGGAGGCCGGCGCCGTGGCTCACTTGGCTAATCCTCCGCCTGCTTTGCCAGCATCCCATATGGGCACCGGGTTCTAGTCCCGGTTGCTCCTATTCCAGTCCAGCTCTCTGCTGTGGCCCGGGAGGGCAGTGGAGGATGGCCCAAGTGCTTGGGCGCTTGCACCCACATTGGAGACCAGGGGGAGGCACCTGGCTCCTGGCTTTGGATCGGCATAGCTCCGGCTGTAGCGGCCATTTGGGGGATAGACTAATGGAAAAAGGAAGACCTGTCTCTCTCTCTCTCATTTGCTCTGTCAAAAAAAAAAAAGTTTAAAATTTAAAAGAGACATCAAGTGGTTAAACTCATTGAGACAGAAAAAATGCTATAGCAATTGCCAAGGACTGGTGGCTGGGAACCGGGAGTGACTTTTCAGGGGTGCAGAGTTTTATTTGGGATGATTAAAAAACTTCTGGAGATGAATGGGGGGTGATGGCTGTACTATAGTATCAGTATTTTTACACTGGACATGGTTAAATGACTTTTGTGTCATGCCTATCTTATCACAGTTTTTAAAAAATAGAGAATAAAGTCCAGCCTGCTCTGCAGCTTATGTTATTTAGAAGAGTGGATCTCCGAGGATCTGTAGGCTCAGTGCGGGCAGTGCTGTTTAGTTTTCATGTCCCAGCACGGCAGGTGCATCTCCACCTGGAGCAGATGCAGGTTTCTAGATGGAAGTAACAATGCAGGAGTGACAAAAGTAATATTTTATTATGTTGACAGTAATGCATGTCTGCCATAGAAATAAACATCAGAATAAACACAAGGGAGGAAATCAACTCTCATAATTCCACCACTTCACAGATGGGTGCTGCTGCTTAAAGTCCTTTTTCTATGCACGCATAAACTTAACATTTGTTCAATTATTTGGATCAAAATGAATAAGGTGTTTCACATACTACCTTCTATATTTCCTTTAACGTTTTCAAAGTTTTGTCTTCTGCATTAAAATTCTTACCTGTCCGGAAGTAATTACAGCTCATTCGCAGTTTCATTGGAGTGGAGAAATCTTGGCACTGTTGACCGTGGGGTCTCTCCTTGCCATATCTCTCCCTTACCAAGTTTTTCTAGGTGTGGGGGCCTCATTTTAGATTTGCTGGGTGTTGTGAATATCTATGCCATGAAATGTTTTTTAACATCATGTTGGGTGCTGTGCTGGCATCTTGTAGTCTGTTAACAGCCCCGTTGTTCAGTGTTTGGGTGAATATCTTTATAGTTCAGCTGTAGGGTACATGTAAAAATTGCAGGGCCAGAGGTGTGTATGTCTTTAAGGTATTTGACACATCTTGCCTTGTTATTGACTACATCATGTCAGAGTGTTTTGTCAATAGAGACTTACGGGATTTTTCTGATATAAAAACCTAAGGGGGCTTTAGAAAGTAATTATTAATAGTATTTCTCTAGTACTTTTTATTTTGGGGGGGAAGTAAGTTTAAATTTAGTGCAATGTACTTTATAAGGCACCTTTGAGTCATCTTTAATTCACCCGCCTCACTGTCTGATTGAGGCAGGTGACGGCTGCTGGCCCAGGAAGAGATCCCCTGGGGGCCGCACGGTCCTGACCGAGCCTGGAAGAGGAGGAGGAACTGGGTGTGGATCCGGTGGGATGGGGTGGAAGCCGTTCGGAGGCGCTGCACGCAGGCACCGCACACGTTTACCCACAGGAGCTTCCTCCCCGTCTAACTCTTTATTCCCATAGTGTTCAGCGCTGCTTCTAACTACCCTCTACCCCAGAGGGATGAGGTGGCCTGTTGATGATTTTGTCATTGCGTTAGCACTCAAAATGAACTTAGCTTGGGAGGGTCAGTGCTATTGCGCTCCTTGTGTAGGTTGAGTGTTGGTTTGTGTTAGAATGTGCCCCATCCTAACATTGCTTTGCAAAGAGTGTGTCCTGCAAACCTAATTATAATAAACACTCTAGGAAATATTTTCCAAATTAAAAAGTTTGCAGGTGAAGATGTCTGAGTGAGTTACTGTCTGTCCATGTTCAGGCTGCAGGTAGAACGTAACACCTGCTACCATTCTCAGTCTCTCTCATTCGCAGTGTCTTCTGTGTTGGCTGAGGATGGTTCTTCACCCAGCATCTCAAGGATTAAATGGAAAGCTGTAAGGGTTGAATTCTAACAAGTGAATATGCCATGAGCCAAAAATGAAAAAAAAGTTACAACTGTGTGTTTTTCTTAGCTTCGTCCTCAAATTTCTTTCTCCCTGTGTTCTGAGTTGTTCTGATAACTGTACCCAGAGCAGCATAAGTGGACCTAGAATACTCTGCAATGTAATAGCTTCCTCTCTTTTTTGCAGGTTGACCGTAACAGACTCGGATGGAGCCACTAACTCCACTACGGCAGCCCTGATAGTCAGCAATGCTGTGGACTGGCCGCCAGTTGCCAACGCGGGCCCAAATCAGACCCTAACTTTGCCCCAGAATTCCATCATTTTGAATGGAAACCAGAGCACGGATGATCACCAGATTGTCCTCTATGAGTGGTCGCTGGGTCCTGGGAGTGAGAGCAAGGAGGTGATCATGCAGGCAAGTCCACCCTGCCTTCAAGCTTTGACCTGCCATCTGTCTGTCCATCTATCCACCTAGTCACCCACTCAGCCATCCATCCACCCATCCACTCACCCACTCAGTCATCAAGAAGTAGCTTGTGGGTAGCAAGTGAGATTCAGAAAACCCATTTTACAGCATTGTCTGCTATGACTGTGAAAGCCCCTGAACTCATCCAGCCTCTACTTTCACCTCCCTTCCCCTCACCCACCTGGAAGAACACAAGTAACAGCCCATTGGTCCTGTTTTAACAACACTACCTTGAGGATGATTAGGAAAAAGCCTTACCCAATATCTGTTGGAGACATATCTTGGTATTGAGAGAAATCTTAGAAATGAGCTAACCTAAACCTCGTCATCAGAAAATTCTGTGTGATTTTTTTCTCTGTTTATACAAGCTCCATACTGTCCTGTCTACATCTAATGGTCTCTTTTCAAGAGCTTCATTGTAGCCACCTTTTGATTTGTTAAAGTCTTTATTTTGAATTAAAACTTTTTTTCATTTTATTTGGAAAATAAGGCAGAGGAAGAGAGAGATAGGGAGAGGGAGAGGGAGAGGGAGAGAGATAGGGAGAGGGAGAGAGATAGGGAGAGGGAGAGGGAGAGGGAGAGGGAGGGAGGGAGGGAGGGAGGGAATCTTCCATCTGCTGGCTGTGGCTGGTCTGAAGCCAGGAGGCTGTATCTGAATCCAGATCTTCCACACGGGTGGCAGGGCCCTCACTGCTTGAGCCACTTGCTGCCTGCCAGCCTGTGCTTCAGTAGGAAGCTGGAATTGGAAGGAGAACCAGGACTTAAACCCCAAAACTGCAACATGGGATGTGGGTGTCTCAAGCAGTGACCCAACCGCTGCACCAAATGCCAGCCCTTACTTGTTAAAATATATAAGTATATTTAAAGACAGAACCTTTGTGTGTGTGTGTGTGTGTGTGTAAGAGAGAGAGAGAGCACGCGCGTGAGAGAGAGAGCTTTTTTTGCTTATTTTTGTGTGTATACGTGTATGACAATCAGAGCTAATTGTTGCTAGCTAGCTTGGAGTCTCTGAAATTATGCTGTTATTTGAAAATTTAATTTGTTAAAAATATTTATTTATTTGAAAGAGAGAGAGGAGAGGGAAAGAGATATCTTCCATCTGCTGGCTCATTCATCAGGCTACAATGTCTAGGCTGAGCCAGGCTGAAGCCAGGAGCCAGGAGCTTCTTCTGAGTCTCCCATGTGGTTAGCAGGGGCCCAAGCACTTACCATCACCCATATGGGATGCTGGTGTTGGAGGCAGCCCCTGAAAATTGAATTTTTTAAAGGATAGAACCTTATATTGTTAACTTCTTCTTCAAAGTCTATGTTACTAGACTAAGATAAATTTCTAATTACTTTTTTTTGAGAGGTGGAACAGAGAATAGGGGAGTGGAAGAGAAAGAGAGGGAGAGAGAGAGAGGAACCAACCCTACTGAGACAGGGCTGGGCCAAGGCCAAAGCTGGGAGCTGGGAACACAATCCATGTCCCCCATGTGGAGTGGCAGATACCCAACCACTTGTGCCTTTTGCCTGCTTCCTCAAAGGGTCTGCATTAGCAGGAAACTGGAGTGAGGAGCTGGAGCCAGGACGCAAGCCTAGGACTCAAGTATGGCATGCAGTCTTTTTTTTTTTTTTAAAAAGATTTACTTATTTATTTGTTTGAAAGTCAGAGTTACACAGAGAGAGAAGCAGAGGCAGAGAGAGAGTCTTCCATTCACTAGTTCACTCCCCCAACTAGCCTCAATGGCCGGAGCAGCACCGATCAGAAGCGAGGAGCCAGGAGCCAGGAGCCAGGAGCCAGGAGCCAGGAGCTTCCTCCAGGTCTTCCCATGCTGGGGCAGGAGCTCTAGGACTTGGGCCATCTTCCACTGCTCTCCCAGCCCATAGCAGAGAGCCAGATTGGAAGTGGAGTAGCTGGGTCTCAAACCAGTGCCCACATGGGATGTCGGCACTACAGGCGGAGGCCTCACTCACTATGCCACAGCACTGGCCCCATGTAGTCCCCCCCCCCCGAAACCTTTTATCTAAGGAATATAAACTTCATGCATTTCATAAATACAACTTTAGGAACATAGTGATTCTTCCCACTGTACCAGCCCTCCCACCAGCACTCCCTCCCTTCTTCCTCCTCCCTTTCCTATTTCCATTCTTATTTTTCACTAAGATCTATTTTCAACTAACTTTATACAAATGAGATTAACTCTATACTAAGTAAAAAGTTCAACAAATAGTAAAAAAAAAAAAAGTTCCTCAACAGTCGAGACAAGGGCTGTTCTAAGTCATTGCATCTCAAAGTGTCAATTTCACTTCCATAGATTACCTTTTAGGTGCTCTGTTAGTTATCACAGGTCAGGGAGGACATATGGTATTTGTCCCTTTGGGACTGGCTTATTTCACTAAGTATGATGTTTTCCAGTTTTATCCATTTTGTTGCAAACGACTGGATTTCATTTTTTTAACTGCTGTGTAGTATTCCATAGTGTACATATCCCATAATTTCTTTATCCAGTCTTCAGTTGATGGACATCTAGGTTGATTCCGTGTCTTAACTATTGTGAATTGAGTGCAGTAAACATGGGGGTACAGATAACTCTTTCCTATGCTGATTTCATTTCCCTTGGGTAAATTCCCAGGAGTGGGATGGCTTGGTCATATGGTAGGTCTGTATTTAGATTTCTAAGGTATCTTCATACTGTTTTCCACAGTGGCTTTACCAGTTTACATTCCCACCAACAGTGGATCAGGCTACCTCTTCTATATCCTCACCAGCACTTGTTGTTTGTTGATTTCTGTATGGAAGCCATTCTAACAAGGTGAGGTGAAACCTCATTGTGGTTTTGATTTGCAGTTCCCTGATGGCTAGTGATCCTGAACATTTTTTCATGTGTCTATTGGCCATTTATATTTCCTCTTTTGAAAAATGTGTTTAAGTCATTTGCCCGTTTCTTAACTGGGTTGTTTGTTTTGTTGTTGAGTTTTTTGAGCTCTTTATATATTCTGGTTATTAATCCAGTTGCATAGTTTGCAAATACTTTCTCCCATTCTGTCGGTTGCCTCTTTGCTTTTCTGAGTGTTTCTTTTGCAGTACGGAAGCTTCTCTGTTTGATGTAATCCCACTTGTCAGTTTGGGCTTTGATTGCCTGTGCCTCTGGGGTCTTTTCCAAGAAGTCTTTGCCTGTGCCAATGTCTTGCAGGGTTTCCCCAATGTTCTCTAATAATTTGATGGTATTGGGTCATAGTTTAGGTCTTTATCCATTTTGAGTGGGTTTCTGTGTAAGATGTAAGGTAAGGATCTTGATTCTCATTTCCGCATGTGGTGATCTAGTTTTCCCAGCACCATTTGTTGAAGAGACTGTCCTTGATGCAGGGATTGATTTTAGCTCCTTTGTCAAAGATAAGTTGGCCGTAGATGCATGGATTGATTTCTGGAGTTTCTATTCTGTTCCATTGGTCTATCCATCTGTTTTAGTGCCAGTACCAGGCTATTTGGATTGTAACTGCCCTGTAGTATGTCTTGAGATCTGGTATTGTGATGCCTCTGGCCTTGTTTTTGTTGTATAAGATTGCTTTAATGATTCGGGGTCTCCTGTGTTTCCATATGAATTTCAGCATCGTTTTTTCTAGATCTGAGAAGAATGTCCTCAATATTTGGATTGGTATTGCATTGAGTCTGTAAATTGCTTTTGGTAGTCAGCACATAGTCTTAACCAGTGTCTTATCTGCTAGGCCACATGCCAGCCTCCTCATTGGTATTTGAGATGATATCAGATATCCTATTAAAACTCACTTTACTTTTGGTATTTCTGAAAGGTGCTTTTTTTTTTTTAAGATTTTTATGTATTTATTTAAAAGTCAGAGTTACACACACACACAGAGAAGGAGGGGCAGAGAGACAGAGAGAGGTCTTCCATCTGCTGGTTCACTCTCCAGTTGGCCACAAGGGCAGGAGCTGTGCCGATCCAAAGCCAGGAGCCAGGAGCTTCTTCCGGGTCTCCCATGTGGGTGCAGGGGCCCAAGGACTTGGGCCATCTTCCACTGCTTTCCTAGGCCATAGCAGAGAGCTGGATTGGAAGTGGAGCAGCCAGGACTCGAATCGGCACCCACATGGGATGCTGACACTGCAGGCAGCAGCTTTACCCACTTCACCACAGTGCTGGTTCCTAAACACAACTTAACTGGGCTTGTGGAACTTGAAAGAGCTGCGAGTCATCTAGATGGCCTTATGGAGTCCTTGCAGTGTGTGTCTGTGCCTGGCTGCTCACCAGCGCCATCTGTCTGCCCCTCAGTGCTGTGGCAAGTGCAGTGTTTGCTGCTTCTGCTGTGTTAGATATTCTGATTCCGAGGGACTGGATACAAAACAGGAAGATGCGATATTTTGTATTCCTTCTATTAAAAAGTCTCCCAAATTTTTCTTGCGTAGTTAATTGAGAATGATGTGCCCAAAGCTAACACTCCAGAATTCATCCACGTGTGCTGGATGTTTATCCAAAGCAGGTTGGCAAGGGCTGGGCTGCAGAGCTGCCCTGGCTGCCCCCACACCCTGTTTGGGACTCCCCCAACCTCTTGTTCTCCCTCCAAAGAACACGAAATCAGCCATGTGACTGATTGAAACGCCCAAGGAGGATGCTTTGCATTCGCTATGGCAGACAACGAAGAGCTCCGTGAACAGATCCCTTTGCCTTAGTGGGAAGCACGTGCCAGCAGCTACAGAGGGAGTGCTCCACGTGGGGACGGAGGTGGAGCCTGGGCGTTTCCTAGATCACGTGGCTGCTGTGGGTCATCAGTGGGGTGCAGTGGTCCATCCAGTTGCCAAGTGCCATGGCGTTCCCTTCTGTGGTGAGCATGAATGTTCACACAGCCACAGACAAGGGTGCTTTGCCTTCTGTGGTCAAAGTAGGGAAGAACCTTTAAAATAATTCTCAAAAGTGTATGCATGTCATAGAGTGGGAAGAAATATTTGTAAGCTGTTCAGCTGATGAGATTAAAGAACTCAAACCCAACAATCTCCCCAGTAATTCAGTTAGAAAATGGGCGAATGATCTAAGTATGTCTCAAAAGAAGATATACAAATAAATGATCAGCAAGTTTATGAAACCATCAAGGAAAGGGAGATCAAAACCGCAATGAAATACTGTCTCTCCCCAGTTAGAATGACTATAAACACAGGCCGGTGCTGTGGCTTAGCGGGTTAAACTGCTGTCTGCAGTGCCGGCTTCCCATTTGGGCACTGGTTTGATTCCTGATCCACTTCTGATCCAGCTCTCTGCTAGTGTACCTCTCTGAAAGCAGTGGAGGATGGCCCCAGTACTTAGGCCCCTGCACCCACGTGAGAAACCCAGAAGAAGCTCCTGGCTTTGGCCTGGCCCAGCCAGCCCTGGCCATTGCTGTCATTTGGGGAATAAACCAGTGGATGAAAGTGTGTGTGTGTGTGTGTGTGTGTCTCCTTCTCTCTCTCTAACTCTACCATTCAGATAAGAGAATGGCTATAAACAGAAAGACAACAAATGCTGGCGAGGATGTGGGAAAAGGGGGCCCTCATACAGCGTTGATGGGAATGTAGATCAGTGCAGCCTCTGTGGAGTACAGCGTGGAGTTTCCTCCAAAATCGAGAAATAAAACTGCCATGTGATGCAGCAGTCCCGCTGTGGGTGTGCATCCAGAGGGACGGGAACCAGGGTGTTGAAGAGATCCCTGCAACTGCCGTGTGTGTCGCAGCCCTGTTGATAACAGCCAGGGTGTGGAGTCGTCCAAGGGCTCCGCTGGGAGGAGGATGCATAGGGAGCGTGTGGTTCCGTATACGCAATGGAATAATACTCCACCATAGAGAAGAATGCAGCCACAGCGGAGCCTGGGGCACACTGTGTGAAGTGAAGCATGTCAGCCCAGAAAGAAAACCACTGCCTGTTTCCACGTACGTGTGAAAGCTTAGGAAAGCTGATCTCCTGAAGTGGGGAGTAGACTAGTGATTATCAGACGCTGGGAGGGAGTGCAGGGAGAAGGGGCCGGAGGGAGGGTGGTTGATGGGCGCCAGGACACAGTTGGGTGGGTGGGGGTAATTTGTAATGATCTATAGCAGAATGAGGTCACTGATTGAAAACAATTCATTGTGGAGCCAGCGCTGTGGCACAGCGGGTTGACACCCTGGCTTGAAGTGCTGGCATCCCATATGGGCGCTGGTTTGAGATCCGGCTGCTCTTCTTCTGATCCAGCTCTCTGCTGTGGCCTGGGAAAGCAGTAGAAGATGGCCCAGGTCCTTGGGCCCCTGCACCTGCTTGGGAGACCCAGAGGAGGCTCCTGGCTCCTAGCTTCCAATTGGTGCAGCTCCGGCCATTGCAGCCATCTGGGGAATGAACCATTGGATGGAAGACCTCTCTCTCTGTCACTCTCTCTGTGTGTCTCTCCTCTCTCTGTGTAACTCTGACTTTCAAATAAATAAATAAAAATCTTAAAAAAAAAAAAAACCAATTCATTGTGTGTCTCAGAATGGCTGGTAGGGTTCTGCATGTTCCCACCCAAATGGTAAATGTTTGAGGTGATGGATATTCTACCTAATCTGATCATCATATGTTGTATACATGCATTGAAATACCACATTGTACTCTGTAAGTATGTACAGTTATGTGTTAATTACAGATAAGCATACATATATTACATTCTCTTTAAGCACTGACAAAAAGTATGCATTTCAAATTTCAGAAGTTTTTGTTGTGTTGATACAGTTGAATTTGTATCAGTTTTCTATGTAAGCTCTTACAAATACACGTTGGTGTCTGTGTTGCGATGCAGTGGGTGAAGCTGCTGCCTGTGGCGCTAGTATCCCGCTTGAGCACAGCTTTAAGTCCTGGCAGCTCCACTTTAGATGCAGCTCCTTGCTAGTGCACCTGGGAAAGCAGCAGAAGCGTGGCTGAAATACTTGAGTTCCTTCCACCCACGTGGGAGTCCTAGATGGAGTTCCAGGCTCCTGGCTTCAGCCTGACCCAGCCCCAGCTTTTGTGGCTGTTTGTGGAAGGTCTGGACTTCTTCCGGGTCTCCTCTGTGGGTGCAGGGGCCCAAGCACTTGGACCATCTTCTGCTGCTTTCTCAGGCAACATTAGCAGGGAGCCGCATCAGGAGTAGAACAGCCGCGTCTCAAACCCACGCCCATATGGGATGGACACTGCAGGCGGTACCTTTACCTGCTATGCCACAGTGCCAGCCCTGGCACTGTTTGCAACTTTAAAGCCTCATATATCTTTGCATTTTCTATTTAACATCTCTAAGCCTGCATCGTTCAGTGTATCACAGTGTGCACGGTCATCTTCCCGTAGGTGGATGCTTACATGGGTTCCGTATTTGCTGTTAGAGACGGCACTTCCGTCAGTGTCATGTATGAGCCTCCTTGTGCGTCTCTAGTGTAGATCCCGAGACGTGGGACTGCTGGGCTGAGGAATGCGCTCACTGGAGGAGTTAGTGGACTTGCCAGGCTGGTGTCCACATCAGCTGTAGTAGTTCACAGGGTACATGTGGATACATGATGGCCTTTTTTTTTTTTTTTTGACAGGCAGAGTGGAGAGAGAAAGATCTTCCTTTGCCGTTGGTTCAGCCTCCAGTGGCCGCTGTGGCCGGCGCGCTGCGGCCGGAGCACCACACTGATCTGATGGCAGGAGCCAGGTGCTCTTCCTGGTCTCCCATGGGGTGCAGGGCCCAAGCACTTGGGCCATCTTCCACTGCACTCCTGGGCCACAGCAGAGAGCTGGCCTGGAAGGGGGGCAACCGGGACAGAATCCGCTGCCCCGACCGGGACTAGAACCCGGTGTGCCGGCGCTGCAAGGCGGAGGATTAGCCTCGTGAGCTGCGGCGCCGGCAACATGATGGCCTTTAACTGGCGTCTTCCTGGGGACACACTCGTTGCCTTGTCCTGCACGATCTCCGTGTTCGGTGAAGTCTCATTTTCCATCGCGTCATACTGTGCACTTGCGCTGCTTTAATGTCTTCTTCTTGAATTTGCATTTGCTGTTTCGTAGGGAGCGCAGACCCCATACCTGCATTTGTCTGCCCTGCAGCAAGGAGAGTACACCTTCCAGCTGGCGGTGACGGATTCTGCGAGGCAGCAGTCCACCGCGGTGGCCACCGTCCTCGTGCGGCCAGGTAGGTGAGACGGAAAAGAGACCTGGCCCAGGGACGGAAGCGGAGATGGCCGCTGAGCGCTGGGCTTCAGATGTGCAGGATGGCTGGAGACATCGAAAACCGATTTGCTCTTGAGTTTCCAAATCTCGTCCTGACCGTGTCTCTAACCCATGCTATGAGGGACAAAATGAGAGCCACCCTCGGCACAGATTCACCATGTGGACACCGTTCCACGTGTCCCAGTCTGCCAAAGAGCTGCAAGGGACCTGAGGAGGCTGGGGTTCAAATGCTGCCCGACTCTCATGCAGCCTGGCTTGGGCAGGTGGCTTCAGCTCAGCTCACTGCCTGCCCTCAGGCTGCAGTGACCTCATGGGCACTGGGCCTTTGCGTGGCAATGGGATTTGCTTTAGGAAGTTTCTGTAAGAGGCCTGCCAGTCCCAGAAACCCTATCCAGAGTCCTGGCAGTGAGAGCAGACTCAACCTGGAGACAACTTCCCTGGCTCTTTCTTCACTTAATTTATTCAGCTAATGTGTGAAAAAAGTGCTATTCGGGCTGGCGCCGTGGCTCACTTGGTTAATCCTCCGCCTGCGGCACTGGCATCCTATATGGGTGTCCGTTCTAGTCCCGGTTGCTCCTCTTCCAGTTCAGCTCTCTGCTGTGGCCCGGGAGGGCAGTGGAGGATGGCCCAAGTGCTTGGGCCCCTGCACCCACATGGGAGACCAGGAAGAAGCACCCGGCTCCCGGCTTCGGTCAGCGCAGTGCCGGCCATAGCGGCCATTTGGGGAGTGAACCAACAGAAGGAAGACCTTTCTCTCTGTCTCTCTCTCTCACTGTCTATAACTCTACCTGACAAATAAATAAAATAAAAAATAAATTAAAAAGTGCTGTTCATGAGGCCCTAGGGAAGAAGAATTAAACAGGCTGCACTTGGCCTCAACCCAGATAGGGCTTAAGGGGGAGCTCCCACAGGTGATGTGGTCAGTGCTGGAGGAGGTACCACAGGTGCCACAGGAGCCACAGAAAGGGGCTGTGCCTGTGCTGGGGGTGGCTGCCAGGAGCTCCTTCACGGGCTCAAGTTAGAGCAGGAGTGAGTTCGGTGGAAGACAAGGATGGGGCGTGGAGAGCGAGAGGAAGGCCTTTTAGGCAGACAGCACAGTCCTGGTGGAGGTGAGAGAGTCTGCATTCCCAGAGTTCCAAGGCATTGGTGTGACTGGGAGAGAGGGCCAGGCTGGGGTGTGGGAATGTCAGCGTAGGACTGGGTAAGGATTGGAATGACTCAGACAATCTGAGAGGGGCAGGGACCGTATTATAAAGGTTTCCTTTTTGAAGATGTATTTATTTATTTGAAAGGCAGAGCTAGAGAGAGACAGACAGAGAGTGCGTCCATCCAGTTGTTCACTTCCCAAATGGCCACAACGGCTAGAGCAGGGCCAGGCTGAAGCCAGGAGCCAGGAACTCCATCCGGGTCTCCCACGTGGGTGCAGGGGCCCAGGCACTTGGGCCATTTTCTGCTGCTTTGGCAGGCCATTAGGAAGGAGCTGGATCAGAAGTGGAGCACCTGGAACTCAAACTCTTGCCCCTGTGGGATGCCAGTGTTGCAGGCAGTGGTTTAACTTGCTACGCCACAACATCAGCCCCACAAAGGGCCTTTAAAACATTTTTTAAAATTATTTATTTGAAAGGCAGAGCAAGAGCAGGAGTGAGAGCAAGAGTGAGTGAGAGAGAAATCGTCCACCTACTGGTTCACTTCCCAAATACTGGCAACCACAGGGCCTGCGCCAGGCTAAAACCGGGAGCCAGCAACTCCTCCTGGGTCTCTCATGTGGGTGGAGGGAACTCAAGTACTTGGGTCATCCTTGCTGCCTCTCAGGGACATTTGCAGGAAGCTGGATAGGAAGCCGAGGCAGGACCCGATCCCAGGCACTCAGGTATAGAAATGTGGGCGTCCCCAGTGGTGGTTCCACCTGCTGTCTGATGCCTGCCCCTCTTAAATGTCCATGAGAGTTTTCTGCTGAGAGCAATGGGAATTCGGCGGCTCTTAGTGAGCAGTGACACAGCTCAGACGATGGGTAATGGCAGCCTTAGTTTCTGACTGTGACTTTTTTTTACAGAAATTTTATTTTATCAATAGCAATATCGATGATACTTTGTATCTTTTATTTTTGTTTAACATTAAATGTTTTGAGCATATCCTGTGTACCAGGCATAGCAGGAGACACTTTTGCATTGATATCAGCTCCCTCCCCTCTTGTTCCTGCCTCTCTCTTCCTGCTCTTCTCCTCTTCCTTTGCTCTTCACTCTGACTTTTGAAGGTCTTTAAAGAAACCACAGGGGGCTGGCGCTATGGGACAGTGGTAAAGCCGCCACTTGTCATGCCGGCATCCTATGTGGGTGCTGGTTCATGCCTCAGTGCTCCACTTCTGATCCAGCTCCCTGCTAATGGCCTGAGAAAAGCTTTGGAAGATGCCCCAAGTGCTCGGGCCCTTGTACCCATGTGGGAGACCTGGATGACACCCTAGCTCCTGGCTTCAGCCTGGCCCAGAACTGGCTGTTGCATCTGGGGACTGAACCAGTGGATGGAAGATCTCTCTCTCTCTCTCTCTCTTACTCCTCTCTCTCCCTCCTTCCCTCCCTCCTTCCTTTCCTTCCCTCCCTCCCTCCTTTCCTTCCCTCTCTCCCCCCTCCCCCCTTCTCTGTGGCTCTGACTTTCAAATAAATAACTAAATCTTTTTTTTTTGACAGGCAGAGTTAGACAGTGAAAGAGAGAGACAGAGAGAAAGGTCTTCCTTCTGTTGGTTCACTCCCCAAATGGCCGCTACGGCCCGTGCACTGAGCCGATCCAAAGCCAGGAGCCAGGTGCTTCCTCCTGGTCTCCCATGCAGGTGCAGGGCCCAAGCACTTGGGCCATCCTCCACTGCCCTCCCTGGCCACAGCAGAGAGCTGGCCTGGAAGAGGAGCAACCAGGACTAGTACCCTGCACCCCAACTGGAATTAGAACCCTGGGGTGCCGGCGCTGCAGAGGATTAGCCAAGTGAGCCGCGGCGTCGGCCAGTAACTAAATATAAAACACAAAACACCACAGGCGTGCAAGTCAGAGAGCAGTGTTTC